GGTTGCAAAAAGAGATCAAACTTTATAGACGTCTATGGGAAAACTATGAATCTTTGACCTTAGGAAACACTTTTGTTTATGGGCTCAATCACTACTTTCATATCTTCTTGAATAAAACACTAAAGCAGGCTGCGCTTATTGTCCAACAGCTTGTGAATATCAAGTTGTTAGCCATTTTTTTGTAATCAGATGAGGATGTTTTACGGTCAGATGCAGCTTTCATCTCATCGTTTCATACCAAGTGCCTTCATCCAATGGGAACACTGGATGCAGAGAGGTAACAGTCCAAGTTCAGAGACAAAGGAAGCCTATGTAAAGATGTTAGATGGTCAACAACCAGGTTGGTCTTTGCTGTTTTGTTACAACCGCCGGCGTGGCTCATTCACAAACTGGGTTATAGTGTTGGTAGGTGGGATCGTCATTCCCAAACCATCATTTATTAATAAGGAGGGATATTGTTGTGAAGGGATTTTTGTCTTTTCTTTCACTTCTCTCCTGAAGGTTTTTATAAAAACCACAATGTTTTTCCCATTCTAACCGAGTTTTAGTCTTTAAAGCACTAAAAAGAAGTGAAAGAAAAACTAAAATTATCAAGTGAAAGAAATGCCAAACAACGTGGAAAGTAAATGTTCTGATGGGATGGACAAACCTGCAACTGATGTCACCACCAGCCTTCAAAGCTCCAGACTTTGGCCTATATAATAATCCTGTTTGGGGTAAAATGCACCCGTTTGCTGCAGAAGAATAATGTGTTGAAACTGACAGCACTATCTCAGTAATTCCAGAACTCGGTGCAGGAATGTCTTCTGTATAACTAGGACACATAGAGCCTTTGACAAATCTGCACATTTTATCCCCATAAGAATGAGGACAGCCTGACCTTAACTTTGGGGTTCAACAAGCACTTTGGATTCTGGCCCTCCTTTATATGTTGGAGCTTTCTTTAAACAACAGCCGGTCAGAGCGACTCGGCTTGCAGTGAGTTGGATGGCATGCTTGCACCCTACCTGGATTTGCCCTCATTTCTCCTGCACAGAAAACCAAAGTTAGGCCAAGTCCAGTTCTGTGACCCTGGAAAAGCATCTCATGAAAGCCAGAGACATTTTAGTCCCTCTGACTTTCTCTCAGGCAACAGATCCAGGTCAGCTCAGCTGACCATTCGTATGAGTCATTCAGGCTCCTTCCTTCACTAATGAGGTACAGCATCACACTGGTTGGCACCAGGATTGAGTACAGTAGGATCTTTTTAAAGTTTACATGCAGATGTGTCCTGACAAAGGACTAAATTTATTGGATCTATTGCTTTTATAACTTAGAGAAACCTC